CCAGATGTTGTTCCAGAGGACCTTGCGCTTAAACGCAGGTGTAGTGGATTTCACGCCTGGGAACCTGGGAGTATGTATGCATCATGATTCTCATTTCCCAGGCAGCCCCTCCCCTCAGCTGTGTCTACCAGGAAGTGGAACCGGGAACAGCTAACCTGCTCTCTGAGAGCTGCCTTTTCCATGTTTCTTATTTTACTTTTATTTAAACTTTTTACCTTTTTTTGTCTCTAAATGTATGTGTTAGGAAATAACTTCTCATTTAGCGCGTGTCTCGTTGCCGAACGCAGTGCGTTCAGCCAGTCCCGATGCAGGCCCCCCCCCCCCCCCCCCGTGAGGACCTTGGAGGATGTAAACAGGAAGTGGAGCTTCAGGAAGGAGCTGTTTGTGCCGGAAGCCGTGATCTCAGGAAGGATGGGGCAGGCTCGCTCTCTTAAAGCACTAATTCCATAAAGTACATTAAAGATCGAAGCAGAATATAACCAGGAGGAAAACCGTAGGAGGCCGGTTTGGAAATGTACGTGTGTGTGACCTGTGGATGGAGGAAGATTGACCATGCTCTATGACTGTAGAGGACAATTACCTGAAACAAATTTGGGAATCAGCTGTATACCAGTGTACGTTTTTCTATTTTAAATAGCATTCCTTCCTTTTATTTTTCAGTAATTAAGTTCCCCTTCCCATACAATCACCATCTTACAGATTCAAACAATGTGGGGATCCAGCCCAGCGACCACAAGTGCTTTAATTTGTCCCCCTCCCGGCGTTCGCGTAACCTGAAGTTGTTGTGTGGCTCATTCCCCGCATGAGCAGCCCCTTCGTATCACTCAGCTGAGAGCCAAAGCCCTTTTTTTATTTTTTAAAGAGAACCTCCTACACCAACAGCTACGTGGAGGTCATTTCCGTGGCCTGTCCTTGGAGGGCGGACTTCATTTCCATGTGACATTTCATGTCGGCGTACGGCTACAGGTGCCTTGGACACTTTTTAAACATAATCACCCTCCATAATCTTTTTAATTGCGACGGCCCTGCATCCAACTAGCCATTTACTATTGTATGGTTGGAGATTTGGTGTGCCTTTTACTGGATAAGTGCTGGCTGTAAAGTATTAAACAAGAGTTTAAAAAATAAACTGCAGGGTTGTTCCATAAAGGAAGGACCAATATTAATTTTTGGAGGCCTACTTATGAATTATTTGCACTGCTTTTGCTTATTGTATTATTTTATTGTTCTGTTCTCACAGTAATGGTAATTGTTAAAGTTGTGCTTTAACAGAATTCCCCCAAAGTAGCAGTAGCTGTCTTCAGCCAGCAGGTGTCTCTGTATCACAGTAGTGGAACATCAGTTCTGAATGTAAAAAAGCAAACAAAAGTCTGTACTGGTGTCTTGAGCCATTAAACCTGCTTTGTACAGTTACTATGGGTTTTTTTTTTTTTGTCTGACAGTATATGGATTAGGAGATTCCTTCTGTTCTGCAAGCTCAGAGGAAAATCCCTGCACACTTACTCTAGCTGTGGTGTAGCATAAACGGGATCAGAGGAGACTTACGGCTGTTTGTTTGCTTGGAGGATATCACAGGAAGCGATGTGCTGGTTCACAGCGGTGAAGCATATGCCAGGGAACATTCAGTTCTAACAGAAGTGGGGTGATGGGGAAATGAGATGGCAAACCAGCTCCACAGCAATATTATACATGGATATCATACAGAAGTTCCTGAGCTGACCTGCACAGTAGGTTTAAAGGCATCTCTCTGCACTTTCCCCCCCCCACAGTGCTATATGGAAACTTTGACCAGTTTTTAAATGGGAGTATTCCAACAAAAGCCATACAGCTTGAGGATTCAGTACTGGGTAGCCAGGGACTGAAGAATAAAAAGTTCTGAATCTTGCTTTCTTGCTTTGCCACTCACACTTAAAAGTTTAAAAAAAAAAAAGCAGCCCCAACCCCCACAGTAGTGGTACAAATTCAGTGAGCCTCCATTGCTCCAGGGCTTTTGTGTAGGGTGAATATTTTGAGCACCATGTAAGCGACGCCAAGCGGCCACACGTACTGGCTTTCCCTCCAGCTGTATCCGTCGCCTCGTCTCCATGCGTCACGCCTCCGTGAGCCCAGTCAGGCCGCACATTTCTCGTCTCGATCACGGAAGGCACCCACAAGTGGACGACTAGGCACAAGTGCTCTCCCGTCACTGACCAGTCTGCTTTCTTGTGCCTTGCATACTTAACTGTGACATTCTGTTTGCAATTAAATGTTTTGTTCGTCTGCGTTTTCTTACTAACGTTCCATTTTCAAAGTCTTTCTGTAATGTGCCTAAGCAGTGGGGGGTGAAATACTTTAATTTTACCTTTCACATGAAAGATATTCAAGGCTAAGAAATAAAATACTCATTCAATTCCATGGCTGTCAACCTTTCTTTTGTGGGGCTAAGCTACATAAATTTAGTTCCATGTTAATATTTTTCAGGAAGAAAAAAACCACATTTCTCAGTAGTTATACTGTTTATTCTGGAAATAAATCTGTAAAAATGATACAATAGGCCTAGTATGCTTGAAATCCAGTAAAACTGACATCTTACACAGTCATCATACTGAAGAGATTCTGAAAAATCCAGGATAATGGAAAACTGTTGTGCTAAATTACGGACTGCTAAAATGTACGAAATGCAGTAAGCTTCTTCTAGACACCAAGTTACTTGACGACACTCCAGTTCCTAGTGTACCCTACAGTCTTCCGGAAAAAGTCTCTTGATCCATGGTCCAGTTTGATCCTCGAGCTGGGACTGACCTGGTCTATCTACTGGTCTTAGCACCTTTCCTCCACATGTCGGCTGAAGTCCTAACCCTTCTATCCCTGCCCGCCAAGCACCCTTGAAGAGGGACGCCGACCGCCATACCCTTCCCAGCTGAGGCCAAGCCAGTGGCCTATCTGTGTGCTTTTTGAGAAAGGGGATGTCTGTGCAATCCGACCACAGTCACAAAGGCTGTCACCAACAACACTCCCAAAAAAAAAAAAAATGGCCATCTGTAAACCCCAGGAATTCTCCTCTTCACCGGCCGCGGTCCGTCTGTCAGTCTGTTCCTGGAGCACACAGATACTCACGGTAAGTCTCCATTACAGGGCACAGCTTGGAAGACAACAAGAGGAATAAATTTCATCTTCCAGTCCTTTTGGTCTTTTAGACAGTGCACTAGACCGCACTGCTTTGCCATGTGATGGCTCTGACCCACTTTGAGATATTTACGACTGAGCTAAATGTGTCACGGAAAGCTTTCCTGTCTGGACATGCTATCCGCTCTAAACGTCGATTTCCTGCGATGACTCCTCCCTGTTTAACCCCTCAGCATATTTGTGCATGCGAGAGCACAGATTCCTACACACACGTCTTAAGACACAACAACCCCTCTGATTCACTTATAATAGCAGTATAACAGAAATTAATATAAAGCGAAGCAGTCTGATATACATCCACATTTGGTTTCCACAGTCCCTTTCATGTTTTTTCTGCTTTTATGGTGGCGTCAAGTATTCAGATTGGTGTTAGCATGACTGAGTGTTCAGGAAGATGATAATAAATGAAGTCTCACTACTACCACCTGAAAATGTCATGAACACTTTTGAACACAAGTCTCACCTTCCTTGGTACTCGTGGACTGGGCTTCTGTGATCTGTGGACTTTTTGTCACACCCTCGCCGTGTGGTTCCTGGTTCTGCTCAATCGTCTGTTCCACGTCAGTCATTTCTTCTGCCTTGTCATCCGGGAGCAAGCCGGAGCGTGTGGCAAACCACCGCCGGACAAGGTCTTCATCAAGCCGACTGGCTTCTACCAGTCCCTTGACGTGCTCCTCCTCCAACTTTCCATGAGTATTCAGGTGCTCCTTCAGCACCTCAGTATCGCCCCTCTTGTAGTCCTCCTCTTCAGCCATTTGCTGGTAGCTTTCAAGCCACTTGAGCTGTCCATTCTTGTACACGTACCGGCTATCACCGAACCAGCGCACCACCTCTGGCCTTGGCAGGCCCGTCCTGGCGATCAGCTCCTCATACTGAGGGCTGCTGGGCCACTGGGTGCGGGCAAACACTTGTTTCAGCAAATGCAGCTGGTCCGGAGTCTTTTTGCCACGAGTAGACGTAGATAGATGTGGGACTTTTGGACTCTCAGCCTGTGTGGGTGGGCTGGCCTCAGCTTCAGGTTTGCCGTTGGATTCAGTAACCTTGAGCATTTTCAAATTTATCTTGATGGGGTTCACTTTGGGTTCAGACCCTGGAGTGTCTTCCTTCTGCTTGTCATCCTTGGTTTGCTGCTTGTCATCCTTGGTTTGCTGCTGTGTTGATGTCCCCTGTGAAGGGCCATCTTTGCCATCTTTTACTACAGTGTCCTCTTCCATGACATCATCATCATCTTCCTCTTTCTCTGCCTTCTCAAACTCTTCCTTTTTCTTCTCAGCTGCTGCCTTCTTCCGACGCTCAGAGAACCAGCCGTCAATCTCACGCCGGGTCATCTTGGTCTCAGCACGCAGCCTGTCGACTTCCTCAACAGGGGGCGTGGGGTTCTGCAAGAAGCTGGACTCGAGGGCCCGTATCTGTTGAGGGTCCCGTTCCTTGTAACGGATGGCAGTGAAATCTGGCGTTTGCTGCCGAGAGACCCGGCGAGATGGAGCGGGTGGAGAGGTCTGGTGGTGATGCTGCTGCACTGTGCTCTGTGAGGACTGGCCGGATTTGGGGATTTCTGCAGAGGTGGGGCTGTCGGCAAAGTCAAGGAGGGAATTCCCGCTGAAGAGGCCCCCTGTGCTGGAGCGTGCACCCTTCAGGTTGCGATAATGGTAGCGCCGGTCACTGAACCACTTGCGTACCTCCCGGATCGTTAGGCCCGTGATTTTGGTGAGCCGCTCCACCTCCTCTTGATTGGGGAACTGGCAGCGAATGAAGCTCTGTTTGAGGGCGCTCAGCTGCTCCTGCGACTTCTTGTTCTTGTAGAAGCTGGGGTCCAGAAAGCTGCTCGGGAGCGTACGTGAGCTGTGGGTCATGCTGAGGACAGGCGGCAACGCGTCTGCCGTTTTCTCGTCACCGCTGACGCCGACAACGTCATCGGTGGAGCCTTTCTTCGCATCGCCGCCGTCGTTGCCAGTGCTGGTGGTGCCGTTACTGCTGCTGCCGTTACTGCTGCTGCTGTTGGCTTCACCACCTTTGTTGCCATGGTTGCTATTGCTGCTGCTGCCGCCACTGCTAACGTTAATAACACTGGTGTGACTAATAGTGCTGCTGGGGGTGATGCTGGTGCTGCAGGTAGTGCTGCTGGTGCTACTGCTAGTGCTTGTTGTTGAGCTGCTGGTGCTGGTGCTGCTGCTTCCACTGGGGGTAGTCATGCTGCTGCTGGTTATACTGCTGCTCGTAGTACTACTATTACTACTACTACTACTACTACTGCTGCTGCTGCTGCTGCTGCTGCTAATACTGCTATTCGTACTGATGATGACACTGCTGCCGCCACTGCTGCTGCTTTCAACGGTGCCCACCACCATGCTGACCCCCTTGTCCGCCACCAATGCAGCTGTGGGCCTGGCTTGCATCAACGGCTTGGCAGCCATCTGAGGCTTGGGGGTGACTGCCAGGGCCACGGGGGCACTGCTGACTTGGAGGCCATTAGCGACCAAAGGCTGTGTGACAATTACCCCACCCTGACCAACCAGGCTGCCCTGCAGGATGTGGGGAATGCTGTTGTGGCCCAATGAGGCCGGCAGGACAGTGATGGTATGCTGAGCAGGGCCATGGTGGGTTTGCCGGGGCTGTGGCTGTTGAGGAACGGGAGGAGCCGTCTGGATAATAGTGTTGAACATCTTCCGGCGGGCGTCCTCGATTTCCTCGGGTGACCAGCTGATTCCCTGCTTCAGTCGCTGGGCGGTGAACCAGATCTTGATCTGTTCCTCAGGATACTTGGTGACGACGGTCAGGTAGCAGAGCTCAGCTTTGGTTGGGTATGGGAATTTACTGAAGGAGGTCTTTAAGAAGCTGCTGTTGTCCATGGCGGCATCGTAAGTGGGGATGCTGCTCAGGGGAATCATCACCTTGGGGAGGTTCCTAGAGCTTGTAGTGGATGAGGAAGAGGACGAGGCAGATGAAGAGGCCGTCATAGTGGCCGACTGCTGATGAAGGGTCCGGTTCTGCACCACGGACACCACCTGGGTGATGGCAGTCTTGAGCACAGGTAGAGTTCCGGAGCCATTCACAACCTGCAAGGCTGTTGGAAGAGCAGGCTTGGTTACTGCTCCATTGTGAACTATGGTGGGGACGTGTGTTACTGCTGGCGGCTCAATCTTCTCTGCTTCCTTACTGTTGATAGTATCTAACTCATCCACGCCGTGAGACACCACGATCCTCTTGGGCTCAGACTTGCCCTTTAACATCTTCATGATTGGCGTCTTTGTGATGGAGATCTCAGACTCTTTGGATCCCTCGTTCACCACCAGACTCTGCTCCACAGTTATCCGCCGGTCTCTTTTCTTCACCTGCAGCGTGGTGTTGACTGTACTTGGGTGGGCATGGGCGTTATGCAGGGCCAACCCCTCGAACTTTGCCGCTGACACTCCACAGTCCAAACAGTAGAAGCTGGGCTCAGCCCGGAAGTCAGCATGGACGTTATAAACATGGTCCAGAAAGAGGTTTAGGTCATGGGACTCAAAACCGCATGGTCGACATGTGTATGTGCCTCCTTCTCGTTGTGTATTGCCCTTGTCAGAGCTGGAGGCTTCACCGGCCTCCTGAGAGCCTTGTCCACAAGAGTCCTCTCCAGAGTGGAAGATAACAGGACGAGAAGACGTACAGTCTAGCAGGCCATCCTCCTGTTCCCTGTCATCCTGCGTGTGCATGGTCTTCACTGGGATCATACATGGGATAGTGGATTTCCTCTTGCTGGCCATGGCTTTGAAAAACAGAGGGGTATTTGAGTATGAAGTGGCAGGGTGTTGTTTGGTTTTAAATGTAGAGCTGGTGTTTCCAGTCAAGGACCAGCCATTAAGAGATTGTAGTGTTCCTGCATGACCTTTCCGTAACCTCCAAGGTTTCTTCCCCTATTCAGGCCTGTTTTCAGCACTGAGAAACCAACCTACAAGGAAAATCGAAGATGAAAACATCATGTGGCAACATTTTGGCAAATGACACGAGAGGACTACTGGACACACATTAAGCAAATCTTCATTGACCATAAATCTGGATTTTGCCCCTGTATATTCAAGGAAAACAAATGCAGAAATGGGGGATTAAAGCATTTAGCTGAGGCGCTGCGCTCTTGACGGTGCAGTCATTTAGTGGTTTACTTCATGCCAATGACATTTCACTGACAGTGCAGAATGTGAGAGAACAGTCACATTTTCCAGCTCGATCTGCCCACTGCCTTCCATCGCCTGCTTGTTTAAGTCGTCTGCTCTGCTCCACCTTATTTACCACATCAACAGTGAACAAGAAGCACCCGAACTTAGATCACAAGCTGGCAACAACATCCCAGCACATTAACGAATAAGCAAACGTCTTTGCACGGCAGTTCCCTAATTCATTTTGGGAACCTCCTATATCACAACTGTGTCAGAACATTTTTTATTAAAACGGTCATATTGCTTTTTCAGAACCAAATAATCTCTGTCCAAAGCTTAGCTTCTCCACGGCTGACTCTGACCAGAATAACTGGTTTGTAAGATGAATGGATGAATTACCTTTACCAACTCCTTTTCACCGCCATACATGTAACTGTCAGCTATATAAATTAATGCTTTGTTTCTTAAGAACAATAGAAAAGAGAACAGTATCAAGTTATAATTTATTGCAACCAGAAAGCACTTTCAATCTCAGTGGTTCAGAGGACAATAACCTTAACTGACTCCTTTTCATCTGGATCTGCAAAGACCACCTCAGAGTCATTTATTCAATCAGTAAACACATTGTGGATTCAATGGGATTCTTATCCCCAACTGATGATTTTCGTTTTTTATTATTATTATTATTATTATTATTATTATTTTAAACCCATAATTGAACCATCATCCAAATATAACTCAGCTGTGGTGTTAACCTCCAGAAAAAAAAAAGAATCTACCAGAAGAGAAAGACTAGGGGATAGAGGGCCGATGAGCTTCCGCATGTAAACACGCCATTAGCGAGAGGAAGGTGCTGCTTACCAAATGTGACCAGTCGACAGTGATGTTTACCGCTCCATGAGCCGCCTTCCTGCCAAAAATCTGGGTCACCTCCATCTTACCCTCTAATCCCAGTTTGCCAGCACGTTAATTTGTTCTGCTTGCAGAAAGGTCGCGGCACACTTACACCAATGCACCATTAACCCTACGAAGGATGTAGATGCCAGATGAATGCAGAAAACCCTAACCCACAAGCTCTGCAATGCCTGTGCAAGAAAAGGCCTCAATTCGCTCCAAATCTTCTCTGATCTTTTGTTTATCTGTATCATGCATTTTCATCAACCAAAATAACCAAATCAAAAGCAAATCAAGAACAGTGACACTTGCAAGATTCGTCACTAAAGTCGACAATAATCATTGAATATTTTAGGAATAATACAGAGTATGTTGAAATAGTTTCAGCAGTATTGGTGTTTCTGACAAATTTATGGTTCAGACAAATTTATTTTCCCCCCATTAAAAAGAAAAAATTATCATAATAAATTATCATACATATACACACACAATTTACACCACTACAGACTAACAGAAAAATGCAGGTTGTTCACACACATATTCATAAAAACTACAACCAGCTTGACAAATTGTCCAACTACACCTTGAGATGTTTAAAGTGAAAATTCCAGTTCACAAGTGCACAGAATGGATCAATGTCTGGTACACGTAACTGTGACTTTTGGTGGGGATATCAAAGTAGTTCAGTGCTACTGGGACAACTGCAACTCAGGCAGAAAGGGGGTGCAATAAACCTGACCACGATCTGGCGTGAAGGAAGGGCTTAAGGGAGACCCAGAACAAAAGGGTAATAAAAGTGTTCCTCATTAGTCTTTGTCCAAATGAACAAGGTGTATAGCCTCTTCGGAAGCCATCACACATAACGGTGCTAGAAGAATGTAACGGCACTCAATGACGTCTTTTCTCGTCAAACCGAAATCAAAATTGCTTTATTAATGGGCTGATTGACATGCTGTTATTAGCAGAATTAAGCTCTCGTTGAGGAGGCGGGAAAACATTCCCCCTCGTGGAGCACAGAAAACAGTCATTGATTTTAAACTTCCGCACTGCCTGAACACAGCGCCCCCTTCAGCAGATCTGAGGTGAGCGTAAACGGAAGTAGGCATCCTCCTGGACACTGTGAGCAGTATTTCAGCTCAGGGTCTGGTCCAGTCCTTCTGCACCACTGTAGGTGTTTGGTTATCGTGAGCGACATGAAGCTCAGGTAGGCCTCCAGCATCCCTGACCAGAACACACCTTCAGCTCACCGCCCACCACTAACATAATTCTCCGACAAGCACAATATCTAAAGCAAGAACCACGATGAACTGGGCTACATTGGCCAGTGCTGTTCTGTTATTCTACTGCAATCAAAGCCCAGACATGTGTGCTTACTGGAAGGTGGTAATTAAATTTTTTAAAATTATACACACTCAATAAAAGCAGTGCCTAGTTAAGTTAGTGATATATCACGATCATATTCAATTTACTGACTGATTAGAAAAATTCTTTAATGTAAATCTATCTTGTTATGTCAGCTACAATACAATTAGGCTAGATAGCCCATAAAACAACAGACTTTAACTTCAAATAAAGAGCTGTTTATAGCTAGCTTAACATTTAAATTCCGGAGTAATGGCATTGACTGAGGTTGTCTAAGTATTCTTTTCTATTTTATCGGGAACTGCTGCTCCAAAACGGAAACTTCGTGAACACATTGGGCAAAAAAAAAATAAAAAATTTGCTTGACTACAAGACGACGTAATGTTTAATGTATGGTAAATGCCATATCAGAAAGGTCTGTATGAGGGCGGTCTATGGCCCCAGCATTTCCAGGTATGGAAGAGGGACAAAATGTTCACAGGTTATTGTGCTCTGTAACATTTAATTTGCTAATGGTAATATGGTGGTATGACTCGGTGCAGCTCAGTATGGCTTAAAGGTGGGGGGTATGGAAAACATAAGGTGTGGTACGGGCAAGGGCACAGACGGTGGAACCACCGAGTGACGGCGGAACAGGAAGGGAACACAGTGTCCTACAGAGGCAAGAACTGCCCCTGAAGTCGGCCTTACTGCCCCACCGAAGCCGTTTGGTTCCACATGAGAGGGCACAACCCTGGCAAGGCGCAAGGGTCATATGACAAAGGCTCCAGGGGAGGGTCCAGGCCTGAGCAATATGGACGTTTACGGGAGCTGAGTGGGAGGGCTGAGTTGCAGGGGGGAGGGGTGGAAGCGAACATGAGCAGGGGGTGTGAATAGCTGCAGAGGAGGCGGTCCAAAGCTTCGACAAGGAATTTTCTACCACATCACCCCCCCACCCACTGCTGCCACCACCACACTCCCTCCCTCCCTCTGCTCCACTCCCCTCCTCCTCCTCCTCCTCCTCCTCAGCAAAGTCCAAAGCTTCTGGAATTTTCCTCTCTGAACCGAACGGCTGTCTGGAAACCTGAACTAAGCAGAAGCTTGTAAACTGCGTCAATTGCCCCAGACAAGGGCATCTCTGAATCCGACCATTAGGGCACAATGGCAGGACCCCACCGCATACATCCCGGAGCCAGTGTTCATTCAGATGTTTTAAAACTCCAGTATAAAACTGGGAACATATTCATGTGCATGCTGTCTATTTTCGGCCAGGTGAAATCAAACACTGGTGCTATATATGGTTCAGGCACACAGTGGGACGTATGCCATTTTCGTGTAATTTCACAACAATACCACTCACTGCCGCCTTTGTAGTCATGGGGAAAATTCCATGTGTACGGTCAACAAAACTTCTGCAGGCCTTATGCATGCGTGTGTCCGCCTGATCCGATCGTGGCTTCCCTTCCAAAATGGTTTACCTTCGTTCGGCAGTAGCGACCCCCCCTCCCCCCGCCGTCTCTCCTCTCCCTCTCCAAGTTCGGCCCAGTCCACAGGGAAACAGGTCGGCAGCGCTACTGATGTGTTACTGTCCCCATGGCAACCCCCACCCCCGCCGTCACCACCGCCACCCCTCCACCCTACAGTCTATTTCTCACACATGCAGACTGTTGCCACCACACTCAGTTCTTCCCCCCCCCCCCCACCCCACTTTGTGAGGCAACACTCCAGTCCAGGCCCCCGTCCTATTTCCGTGCCTCGGGTGGTATTCGGGTCTCTTAGGTGCCGCTGATAGCGGGGCAGGGAGTCTCCACATGCCACCCGCAGCCTTTGGCTGGCGTTCCCTTCGACTGGAAACCAGGATTTACGGTCGACAGTCCGCTCGCCATGCCTCGGAAACGACAAGAGCACAGCGTGCCGTTTCTGCGCCCCGACTGACCCTACATTCGGCGCTGGCTTTCAAAACAGCAACAGAGGCAGAGATATTTATTGCGTAAGGATACGTCTGTTTGTGTAACAGCAAGTCTGTTTATTTAATCTTTAATTCGGGCAAAATCTCATTTTGCTGGTGTCAGTCCGCACCAGGAGCAGGAATCGCATTTAGCTAACGTGAAGATTCCATGGAAAATACTTCGCTGGCAGACCCCAATGGTTGAGCAGCGACTGGATGCCACACGCCATGCCGCTCCACCTAAAATGGCCGACATCACAGGCTCTCAACCAGCAAGGCGCTGCGTGGCCGTCCCCCACACAGAACCCAGGACAGAGGGACTCCTTTTCATTATGTCTAGGCCTAAAAAAAAAATGTCCAATTCCAATTGTGCATTCCAAAAAAATATCTTTTTTGAACGAACCTTAAACGCTTATCCAAAAATGTCCCAGACAGAACAGTTTGCATACAAACTGGAAAAAAATTTATATATATCTACCATTTAACATGCCAAGTATTCTGCCTAACACATTACATTGTTAAATTATTTTAACAGAAGTAATTCTATAATAACAACTGGAATACAAAAATAAGGTACTCGATCTGGATGATATTTAATGGAAAAACTACCTAATAATCAAAACATCAACAATAATTTTAGGTCGGAGTTCTGCAGAAAACCGTTTTCAATAAGTTCCATGATACTCAAAACAATATAAACAGCACTCCTGGAAACACTTTCATTGTCATTTTATAAGACACAAACATTCATCTATTTTCAATGGCAAAGGAAACCAAGACAACCTTAAGTGACCTCTCTGTTACCAAAGCAGTAGTACTGTACACGAAGTATCAAACAAGTAACATGAAGAAACCCATTCAACAGCAAAGCTGATTTATTTCTTCATTAAAATTTTGATATGTGTTACTTTGTAAAAGCTACAGAAGCATGTGGGCTATTAGAAACATATTTCAAGAGACGGCTTCACGGATTACAGGTATACGGTTAAACAGTGCTTTGAATGGGTTAGCTTAGCAGTGACCTAAAAGCATATGGTAGGATTTTGATTTTTAAGTTGGACTAAGAGCATGCCAATGTTGACATTCACTATAACGAGTGGTGGAGAAGTCAAAGGTCACTAACCAACAGACACTAAAGCACTATTACTCATACCCACATTCCCACATATTTATATACATGTCAAAAATGATATTTCCAGTACTGCCTCAGAACACCCAGGTTATATCAAGCATCAATGAAATAGTGCATTTTCTACTCCAAAACAGAACTGCAATACTGAGAATGCCTACAAGCAACAGGCATCTCTTATAAAACAATACGGAAAATCTGTATACCCGGAGTAGAGAAAAAAGGCACATACACGATATGATTCATCCCTAAACAACAAATGGATATAAGGTTAAACCCTGAATGAAACAACCAGTAGTGCTGCAGTGTTTACCCCAGGCAGCATAAGACAGTTTGATATGGGGGGGGGGGGGGGCACTTAATAATTGAAATTAAGAGGTCTATTTGTTGAAGGGATGAGGACAGCCAAATTAAATACTGGCGGGCATATGTACCCTCAGCCCCCTCCCCGGATACTACGCCCCTGGATGCAGGTAAGCTATTCGGCTGGCTTCTAGACAAGCGTGACTTGCAGTCTCGAGCTCTGAAAATAAAAAGTCCACCCCCGTCATAACGCCAACTTCTGTGCAGAAATCAACAGTTCACCACCCTCCCCATTCCCATCCCTGTCCTCATCCACGGCTGCACCGGCATCAGAGACTCGGAGGCAAGCCGATGAGGGCTGTGTGTTGGGGTACAGGGTGGCGCACACGGAGCCGATGTGCAGCCTGTCGTGTACGTGTGCGGGTACATGGTCAGCAGGAAAAAAAATGAAGAGGGGAAAAAAAATACTCAAAAAACATAGCGAACAAAACTGGCGCGTGCTGCCCTTCCGCTCAAGTTTCCATTAGCTCGCGGAGTTAACGCTGGCGCGAGCTACAGCCTCGCGCTGACAGTGCCCGAAAAAAGGGGGACGGGGAAGACACCCCCCGGAAAATAAAATATACTCAATACGCGCCCCCCCTCGTCCACTGTCGCCATTTTAAACAGGCGACTTCGCGTAGCTAGCAAGCTAAACTGCCCTGCACCGCAAACCAAAAGGTAACGTTAACGTAACTTTATAGAGGTGAAATTAAATAGCGGCACCACGGGAGAAACGAAATACTGAAACTGAACTTACCTTCCAGTTGATTCGGCAAAGGGTAAATGGGTACGATAAACAATAAATAGCTAGTCGTACAGCTATATAAATAAATAACATAATATTTGGGCTATACTTGGTGCCAATTGCAACGAGGGGGTGGACCCTCTCTCGTGAAGTCTTTCGGGTGCTGAGAGAAAAACCCGACAATGGTCACTACAACAAGGTGCAATGGCCTCTTATGTCTTGTTTATTACGAATCGATCTGGCCAGAAAGAGGAGGCAAAAGAAAATACTACGTACGTACCCAGTGTAGGAACACGTGATCCAGAGCGTCACCCATCAGCAAAACCCTCGGATCGGCGTGAGCTGCTGCTGGGTACACCGGCTCGGTCGGGTGGAAAGTTTATTTGAGGGGGGCAGAAAATACAGTTAACCAAAAGAAATCAGGCACTTGGTGTCTGACTGATGAGCTGCCGTGAAATTGACGCTTTCGCGTGTGATGCGTTGTGCAAAAGTTACGCCGAAGTCACCGCTCTGATATGCTAATAAGCACCATGTACTGTACGTGTCTGGTGTAATACTGCCAAATGACACTATTTGGACTGAAACTGAGATTAGCACGAAATTATAATAATTCACAATCTTTCTGGTGTTGAAATATGCTGTGTTATTAACCATATGGTTTGATATTTATGTTGATAAAGTGAGAAATGCGTTTAATATCACTGGTATTTTAATAATATATTATTCCAGGCCAGAGAAATCTAAGTACATTTAATATTAAATGATAAAAGGGTTACTACCATATAAAATTACTTGTATAAAAACTTACAGCAAAAATCTTGAACGAACACGTCTTGCAAGTGCCTGCCTAATAAAAATACTTATATATTGCTTTTGTCTTTAAAAAAACTTGTTGCATTCAGGAAATTAAACATTGCAAACCAAGAATGACACCTCTGTTATATAATACAGAATAATACAAAATTACAATACTTGTTTTAAAATAATATAAAATGATACAAAAACATCGTCAGAACCGGTCAGCACTAAAAGATTAAAAAATTATGACAAGCTAGTGTTTACCTTATTCGGGTATTCTTTATAGCAAATAGAATAGTGTTCCATTAATCCCGTTTTTTTAATTAATATGGGGGGATTAATATGCATATATGGATGTATGAAAGCCACAAAATTACCATACGGTCTGGATATTAATCTCGGCGTCTCTAAATTGTTCTAAGTGTCGTGGTATATACGTTGGCCACGGATCTGCTATTATGCGGCATAGGTCATTGCAAATTACAGCATCAACGTCCTGTATGAGAATTACCACATAATACGGAAAGGTGCCATGATTTTTGGGAAAATGTCTTATCAGATATCGTTTAGATTCTACGCACAAAAAAACATTGCATAAGAAAATATACAAAATAGCGCCTTTTAACAATGTGATCAAATTAATAGGACCATATTAGGCCTATAAGACCTCACTAATACTGGTAGTAATATTTGAATTTTGCGTTGCACAAATTAGTGTTTGAATGAAGGTACTAGCTGATACTATAGACTAGATTCTTCCAGTTGTATTAGTACGTACGTAATATATATAATCAGCGTCAAATTGTAAAATAGGCTTAAGTGAGCTTTGTTGAGCGAGAAGAAGCGTGACACTTTATTCATCCTGTTGGGGAAATTGTGTTCTTTAGCTATCCTACCTTGCTCTCTGCCAGCACTGGCTTAGGGCTGCCTGGTGGCCTTTTCTTTTGCAGGCCGTATACTTGTATGACTGCTTTCCTGCTGCTTAATTAACACATTCACGTACGTTAATATATAAATGCCCGATACCGTAAAAATAGTCAAACATGAGTAACGCAACAATGACTATTTGGCTGTTTAAAAACACAGTTTTAATATCTTTAGGATACTCATACAACTGGATAGTTACATTAGTGTTCATTACAAAGTGCTACTATCGTCAAGGCTTTTCTTATCAATTCCATATGTACAGTACAGCATACCCAGCTCAAGTAGATATAGATAACATTGGTGTTAGCCAATGTCTTACTAATGATTTAGTGAACTTAGTGTCCATTACCACCATAAGATTCAAAACAAATTTATATTTCAAGTGTACAGATGGGACTAAATGAAGCTAAAACCACTGTTACACTAGACCCATTTGCAGTGGTTCCTTTCTATTGTAATGGATTATGTCTACTAGCCTATATTATACATTACGGGTAGTACAGTTAGACCATGAAGTTGAATATGCAAACCAAACTGATAGACGAGGAATCATGCTTCCATTCTTGACTGTAGTTAATCATATTTTAAGGTAGTGTTACGGCCTTGCCAACCATGCACGAACGCAAATCGTAGATATGCAGAATTGAAAGTGGGTTATTAAAAACCTTTATTGACGTTCTAGTTGAGCACTTCCTATTGGTTTAGCGAGCGAGCGAGCGTAATGTCATTGGCTGGGAGGACAACGTAACACTGTTGGACGCATGCGTCGAAAGTGGGAGAGGTAGAGCTTTGGAAGGAATGAATCGGGGCTTTGAGGAAAAGTGCGGGAGCGCTAAGCTGCAGCGCACCGGTAGGGTAGTGGGGCGTCTGTCTGAGCGCCAGTTCACTGAATCACTGCACTTATCTTGCATGCAAATCACGTCAAATAACTGTTTTATAAGCAAAGCGGAGTAGTCACTTAAGGAAGTCAGATATGTAGTACTATTAAAAGAAAAGATCTTGCCCAACTTACCTGTGGCGGCATAAGTATGGCGCAAAGCGTTCATTTGGAGGAGACGCTTAGTGTTTATGAAGATGAACTTCTCGGCTCCAGACATGGCTGCAGATAAACAACTCCGGTTGTAATATTCTGGTTTACAGCTGTTTCATTGGCTATTAAAACTCAATTGATAATGATAATTGATATGTAACTTCAGTAGACGCTGGAACGTCGGGGGCGAGTGTTTTTGTGGTTCAGATTAGCAAGATCGTTTAATTTAGAAAAGCAAAAAGGACGATTGACCGAATCTCGTGAAAGGTATTAACAGGTGTTTATGTAGTAGTAATAATACAGTTAAGGTAAAATATATTATATAATAATCTAAGACAGGTTTTGTATCTTTAGTAGTTATTATTAGAGTAAACCCAATAATTGTTACCTCAGATAAACACCCATAAAGTCAGCAACAGCATTGCAAGCATCATTTAGACGAAATGGGCGGCTCGCATGGATGTTAGAGCCGGCGCTTTCGCGGTGTACAGCCGAGGGCATGTATGAAAAACAGTCACGGTACTCCAGTCTTGTAATGGAAACTTGGTGAGCTGAAGCCTCTAATCACATAGCCAGATATAGAGCTGGAGATTGGAAATACAGCAGTACACAAGTATCTGGAGTTTCTGTTCTTTCATTGACACCAAAACAACGTGAATGATAGTTTTTTTTTCCTCACTAGCTATACTGAAGAATACAGATTAAATTTATCCAGGACTAAATCAGGGCGAAATCATTTCATGACGATTTTGGGGAACAAATTATTATTTATAATGTATTATTATTAAGGAATAAAAAATGTGCAAAACCCATGCATTCACTTTCTGAAACCGCTTATCCTGTTCCGGGTGGTCCAGAACCTATCCTGGAGGCTACGGGCACTCACACACCATTTACTCGCACAAACGCACCTACTGTATGAGCGATTTGGTAACTCTAATTAGCCTTAGCATGTTTTTGGGACCGTGGGGGGAAAACCCACAACAATAATTTATATCAACTTATAAAGAAAATCATTAGCAGGTCTTCTACTTTCTACTGGATGTTTGTTGTTTAAATTTCACTAGACAGTTCAGTTCAGTGATTGAGAGATGTGTCCCAATTCCTTTGTTCACATACTCTTAGAATTAGAATTAGGTGATCAGTGTCAACACACCACAGTGCACAACAACGAAATGTGTCCTCTGCATTTGACCCATATGTGACTTTCGTGACATAGCAAGGGGCAGCTAATTCAGCGCCCGGGGAGCAGTGCTTGGGGGTGGTACCTTGCTCAGGGTACCTCAGTGGTGCCTTGCTGGTCGGGGATTCGAACCTGCAATCTTTGAATTACAAGTGCGCTTCCCTAACCACTGCCCAATCACAGCCACCACTGCCCAATCACTGGGCATAATCATCTTTATATTGAGGTATGGTTTTGGTCCAAGTCACCTAACCCTACGAGCCCCTCCCCCCCATGAAAATCTTGGGCCATAGCTTCATAATTTTTATGTTTGGCCGGCTAAGTGTTTATATCACCAAGGATTCACAGCAAACTGATGGTCACCTCCTCTGCAGAAGCCCTAAACCTCAGCTTTGAATAAACATTGAAAGGGGCATTACTGTTAAACTTAACATCACAGCATGGAGTATCATTTTTAAACTGAATGCCTTGATTGACAGGAGACACCAGGAAAATATGGGGCCGGCGTTCATAATGAGAAGAAAAAATGACAAGCGCTGTGAATGTCACCAGGAAAAGTGACGGGAAAATGATGATGAATAATGATAAAATTATACTTCTGCCATATAAAAAAAAACAGAAACTGAATTTTGGTCATCAGGTTCTCCTTTGACAGAAAGAGCTTATTGGTGAAAGGCAAACTGACATCAGAATTCACCAGCACTAGTTACACAAAATTTACAATGTTGCATACAAAAAAAATTCAGTAATACTTAGTTGTCACCTATTACACTGGTAGCATGAAGAAAATCACCTGATTAAATCTGTTTTTTTTTTTTTTAAAGTATTTTTCACGGAAATTGAAACATCGGGAATAAATCAAAATGCACTCCCCACTCCCCACCGATGTGCTGAAAGAAGTACAGAGCAGCGCTGACGGCAGGAGATCTGACAGAACAGATGCAAATCTCACTTTTCTGTATCTCCATGGACAATTTAGAGACACCAAAGAGTCAAACTCAGTGTTTCTCAACTCGGTCCATGGGGATCCCCAGACAGTCCACGTTTTTGTTCCCTCCCATGGAGCAAAAATGTGGAGTGTCTGGCAGGCAGGAGAAATGTGGACCGTCGGAGGGGGATACCCCATCATCCACAGCATGTCCTGGTTCTGGCCCAGGGTCTCAGCACATTGTGGCATGCTTGGGAACAGCTCCGATGGAAGCCATCTTATCAGATACTCAAACATCCTCGGCTGGCACTTTTACCCTAAATTAAACAATTCTACCTGTTACATAAGCTGACTTGTAAAGAATTCATGGCCAATGGTTATACAAACGAATAAGGAAATAGAATCATAGCAAATAATTAAATTACTATTCACTTATTGGGGGGGTGGCCTCTTTTGTATACTGTTTTACAGCAATTATGCACGAAAAGTTTTTATGTTGTCTTAAGTCATTTGTTTTCAGGTGTTTAAACTTCTCATTAATATAAAATATTTCGTCATGCAACTCCTTATGTGTTGCCCAACGGAGTTAGGCGTTGCTAGGTTACGACATCCGGGGTTTATCTCCGGTTCTCTCCTTCGGTTTAGCCCCGAATGCCCCAGTCCAGTGACGCCTACTTCGCGATTTTTTAAGGTGGTGCTTAATAAAACGAATTTCGAAACCAGGGGCCTGTACTACGTTACTGGTTTATTGGGGTAACTTGTCGGATTTAAGGTAGTCTGGGCAAAATGTAAGTAAATGAATATGAAGTCCATTTAAACTGTGGTACCTTAAATCCAGCAAGTTACCCCGATAAGCCAGCAACGTTAACCCTGCTTCGTAGTACAGGCCTCAGGTGACTTCAGGATGAATTGTGCCGATAACACTGAATTGTTAGAAAACAAATAATCTCACAAAGAAACTGATTAATCATATCTTAATACTTCAATACGCGAATGAAAATGCATAAAATGTTTTCAATATTTTGTTCCTTCAAAGGAAAAAAAGTACACATTTTCAGTGGCGTAAAAGTTTGGTAAATACACACTTATTTGTCTTAACTTATGTAGGCTACAAATGCATCTCAAAAGTATCCTTATTAACTGTTACAGCTTAATAGCATCTGCGCAGGCGCCGATCATCATATGCAGCTAGTGTGACCACTTTTCCGTCACATTCAAGGCAGGCTGAAGAGTGCAGCTATTGCACCATTATAAATTTAAATCAGCCTGGCATGTTAACCGGCGCCAGTGAGCGTCCCGGTTATTTTTTTCGGGAGGTTGTCATTCAGATTGGGAACGGAAACGTAACAAGGTCCGATTACAGACTTTTTCCCGGCTCGACCTATGCCGTCAGCAGTGGGTGTGCTTTCCGTGGGGTTTAAGTTTAAATTTTAAACATTGTATCGCGTTTGAGGAAACGCTAAACCAGTGGATGCTGCGATCTTTCGGGATGGTGCTGTCGCAGTGCTTGGAGGATCTGCCCACTTCAAGGCAAACGTGCAGCGGAAAGGACGTGCAACTTCAGGACTTGTATAATGAGAGACACCGGCTTGCTTTGGAGGAGCTGGTTTCGGGAGGCAAGGAATCCTACTTATCATTCTTGAAAAAAGAGGGAATCCCCAGTTTTCTCTCCGATGTCGAGATACAGCGCATCTGGCAGTCAGCCGTGGTGCCGGAGTGCGTGTCTTTAAGCGGGGATGACGCCTGCCTGGAGCAATCCGTCAGCAGCTCCATGAACTGCTCTTCGGTCACCTACTTCCCCAACGTCTCGGACGTAGATCCCCCGGCGTTGGAGCTGGGCTGGCCCGTCTTCAGGTCCAGCGCTTCCCGTGGAGTTACCCGAGCCGTCGCGCACTTTCAGCCCAGCTACGACGAATGCATTTACAGCTGCAAGGAGGCTGTTAGGCGCATGATTAAAAGCGCAAAAAAGGTACAGCTGTAGCACGGCTCCGTGCAACTTGTAACATGCTTAATTATTCAGCAGTGAATTTTTCTTTCAATAGACAAAACTTACCTTAATGAAATGCAAGCCCTTCGATTTCAGGTAGTGTCACCACTCTTCGCTTAATACCCTAACTGATGTTTTTGGGGCTGGTTAATTACTGTGTCGAGACCCGATAAATTTAAACCATGATCGGTCATGGGTGTCTCTCTCAGTGGCTTTTGCTTGGCGGCCTGACCCTAACCCTAACCTTAATCAAGGTGATCGCGATCGTCACGGACTCCCTAACCGACCTAGACATACTTGGAGATCTGAAAGAGGCGTGTACGGGACGTCGGGTCCCAGTGTACATCCTCCTGGACCAGTCCTGCACCCCCTCCTTCCTGCAGATGTGCACAAATCTCAACCTCCGTCTTGACAGCCTACAGGTAGAGACTGTGGACCCCTTTGTCTTTCTCTAAAGAAGCAAATAAAATAAGATCTCCGATTGCCTAATTATCTAGATAAAAATGAGAAAGTTGTTTTATGTAGCCTCAAAATATTTTTTCGGATGAAATTCGTTATTGCGTCGTTTTCCACAGTTGACTATGATTTCCATCTGCAGTCTACAGACGTGTAGTTAGGTTAATAGCATGCCTGTAGTGTGTGTATATGTATGTGGAGTGTTGGTTGTGCTTAGTTATTTTTCCTGAATTTCCTTTTCCCTTTAAATGCAACAGGCGTACAGGAACTACAGAACAAAACCGAATGAGCAGGGCAAATGTATTTTATTTATAAAAAGACTGTAATACGTACTCTTCTATATCACGAAGCACATGCAGGTGCGCACAATAAGCGGAGCGACCTACTTTATGCGGTCCGGAGCGAAGATTGTGGGCAAAGCTAACGAGCGCTTCATGCTGATCGACGGACACAGAGTGGCGACGGGATCGTACAGGTATCTGCGTGCTGTCTCCTACCCAAACGTTAAAAGGTTTCAAAAGTGAACTTCATATGCTTCACGGTAAATTTTGTGCTATTGACACTGATCCGATATGGTCCTAAACCTAAATTCAGAATTGAGTTCTTTGTAATAACTGAGAAGTAAAGGGGTAATTTAGACCTCGAGCTCGCTATCCACCGTGTGTGTGTGTGTGGGTTTGCATAGATCACATTTGAGGAACAAATTGTCCCCAAAGTATAGTAAAACCTGAAATTTCCCTACTTTTGGGGACATCATTTGGATAATCTCA